ATATTTGCTCAAGAAAAGAAGTGACAAGTTTACAAACATATCTGGTTATTCTTTTAAAATATTATTTATATTTTTTCTTATATTATCGATCAGTATCAAAGGCTATGTGTGTATATAAGTATATCGCTGCTGTCCAAACAAAACCTTGTATCTCCAAAATGGTAACTTTACAGGAGATGGAAAAAACCTACTTTACTTTAGTGTAAGTCAATGGAATCAGACTTTTTGTCCAAGTAATTTTGTCCAAGCCATTTCTTTTGGTCCATTCATCATGAAATTTACACAAAATGTAAAGGGCAACAGGCGTTTTCAAACTATGTCAAAAACTGAAAAATGGAGATATGAGGTTTTATTCTGACAGCAGCGATATCTTGTTTTCAGCGAAGGCAGTTCCCTCTCTGCTTTAGAAAAAAGGACATTTGAGGGTCAGTTCCAGAAAAAGATGAGGACATGGCCATCTTACGTTTAATTAAGATCAGCTTATATATGTTACTTCACATACGAGTTGTGTTTACTTTGGGCAACAGCCTGGTGTCTCTGTCGTGTCAGTAGAGCACTGCGGGACTATAAAAACAAAGCCAGAGAATCGGGAGGTAGAGCGGCAGCCAGCCAGGTTCGGCTCAACAGCAGCAGATGTTTGGCCTCCATGCAGCTGCATGTGTCCCTGCAAACACAGCAGTCTCCTCATACACAGCCAAGATGAGTCTGAAAGTCAAAAACTCAGTACAAGTTTACATACAGAGAGGCACAGCAAGGGATACAGATGACAGAAAAGCTAAAAGAGCAAAGCCAGGAACATAGCGAAGCTAATTCAATCACTTTTTGAGGGGGTAATCCAGTGCATTGTGGAACATTCATGGGTTAACTGCGTTCGCTGGTGATGGGAAGTTAGCACGAGGGTTATGTAATGGTGCTGGTGAAAGCAGCCAAGAAAGGCGTTAACAAGACAGACCTGTGGTGGGACGGGCCTCGCTGTTGCCTGGTTACAAATATTTTGGGCAGGGAAGTGGGCAAACATGTCCCGCCTCCCCAGGAAATGGGCCACTCTCGTGACTGCTGCAGGGGGCTTGAGCTGCACTGAGACCACAAACAGGAAAATGAGAGAGAGTGCAGTAAACACAAGTCTAGCTGTCTGGGCTTTGGTATGCTCCTCCTTCCGTTCACGTAGTTTCACCTTTCTGCTGGTGCAGGACCTTTTGAAGTAAACAAACAAACAGAGCAAGTACTGCAAAATGCAGTTCAAATATTAGGACTTTATATGCATGTTGGTGATAAACAGTGCTCACTTTTTTGTTTACATTTGTCATTATTAATCATCCTCGGCTAATGACAGATGTTTTCAGCCTTTTTAGTGATATAAATCCAGTATGCTTTGTAAGGTTCACATTGATTTTATAATAGGCATTAGAATAGATTTGTATAATTTAAAATATAAGCTATAGTCTATGCACTATTAACAGCCTTGTGTTTGGCAAATACAAATCAACTAGCCCATCCCGGATTAGACCGGAGTGCTGTGAAAAGCAACTACTTCTGCTTTGATCCTGTTGCTTATCCAAATAGCAAAATGGTCTGTCACATTGATGTAGGAATGCGACAAATCTGTCGACAAATCTTTTGAATAAAACAAAATCATGTGGCATCCTTGGTCATGTGGTTTCTGAGAGGCAATTCAGTATTAACACATACTGGCATTCATCTGAGCTGCAAACACTGAAACATGGAGAATTCAAAAAGTTAAACTGTTCTTGTGAATAATGCCACTCTTGAGAAAAAGGCCAGTGCTGTATTTTGTTAGAAAATGATTTACAACCATGCAAACATGGTTTGGAAAGATTCACAGACACGCAATACAATCAGAGAACGTAATATAATGTGATTTTTCCCCTCTTTGAAACACTGGGCAATGAATGTATGTGTATAATCGGTTTTTGAATGTTATTTGTACCTCTTGTTACTTTTTGGTGGAAAAAAAAAAGATTTACAACCATGCTATAAAATGAACTGCCGTTATTTTTACTGAAATAGCTGAAAATTTCGAGAAGCAAACCTACATTATTTTAACCACTGGGCACATACTAACCTAGCTGCAGCCAACATCTGCCTATTAGCTCCGACTGCTAGCTACAGGTTAGCTTTTTAGCTAATGCCTTCGCTTAGGCTTGTTTAGATTCGCTACGGTAATCGACGCTTATATAAGACTTTCGTGCTTTTTTATGCACAAACTCGTCTACTCGTCTCGAGCAATGTGGCCCTCACTGTGGCTGTTATCGTTAACCCGATGCATACTTGTAGCTAGTTTGCTAAGCTAGCTAACTGCTTCAGCAGCCAAGCAGCGCGAAGCTATCTGGCTAGTCCAGTTAGCAGTTTGCTAACGCGCTGGCCAGCAAAGGCAGCGCAAACTGCCCCCCAGACGTGGCTGGCTTCAGCCGACTGTCTTAACCGCGCCTGTAAGCTCTGTATGCTGACTGAGGGCAGCGAAGATGAGCTCCGTGGGAAAAGCTTTAGGTTTCGCTACAGCGAAAATCCTCCGTCTGTGCGAAACTCGACTCAGCGCTGCTCGCTCTCACTGCGCCGCCCCGCTCGCTGGTTACCACGGAAACGGGTTGCTGCGCAACAAAAACAAAAAAAAAAAGAAGAGAGAGCGAGAGACCGAATCGTCATGACGTCTCTGCGTCAGACGTGCTGGAACGGCGTTTCCATGACGACGCAACGCCTGTACACACACATGCAGACTGGGTTGTAAGAGAGAGGCCAGTGGGAACCACATGCTACCGATATTTGTTTGCTTTATTTTGCATTTAGTCGAGTTGTTTCGTAATGCAGACTCTTCCCCAGACTAAATTAGAAACCTTGTGGGATCATTTAGCACAAATTACATTTTTATACACTTTAATCTACGTTTACTTTTGAGCTAAAAAAAACTCGCCATATTCATATTTTTTCTTGTGAAGAAATAACAATCATAATAAAATTACAAAAATAATGTAATAAATAAACATAATAATAATGTAGGCTATCATTGCTAAAAGCTCAGCAACAAACTTAAGCAGAGAAATCCTCTCTCTCTCTCTCTTTCTCTCTCCGAGTCTCTCTCTCCCTCCCTCTCTCTCTTTCTCTCTCCGAGTCTCTCTCTCCCTCACTCTGTCTCTCTCTCTCTCTGTCTCTCTCTCTCTCTCTCTCTTTCTCTGAGTCTCTCTCACTCTCCCTTTCACTCTCCCTCTCTCTCCTCCTTCCTCCTTTTACATCCCACATATGCTATGATGTGTGTTTTTTCTGACGCAGCCGTTCTTATTTAAGGTGGACCTGCGGGTTCTGGTTGATATTTGTGGTAGATTTTTTTTATATGTACACGCTCGCCATTAGTCATCCCGTTTGAGTAGCGGGCTCCTACCTGCCACCGGACCAGAACAGATCGTTCTTCATCAATGACGTTCACATGCTGACTAATTGTTGCTATCCCCACTCTCACCCCAGTTTTTTTTACCCACCGCTATTCCGACCAGTCCCGCCTCCTGCGCCAGGATTGGTCAGTTGCATCCCGCATTCCCTGCAGCGATTGGCCAGCACCGAGGAGCCGTTCACGTCACTATAGCAACCATCGAACTTTAGAAGAATCGGAACCAGGTTTTTTTATTATTATTGTTTTTTATTTATTCCTTAATTGTCTGTGATGCTGCAAGTCCGTCCCAGCGCAGCGAGGACGGGCTTGACTGAATACGGGTGGGGAAAAAATAACGTGTCTTACAAAAGCCTTTCTGGAGTTTTCCTATAGCTTCCTGTCCTATGTTCCACTTATTATTACTCACTGTCTTTTATTATTGTTATTTTAAAAATGACTAACTACATGTTCCACGTATACAGCCTAGTGTTCCTCTGTTTATATGCTTTTTTGCAGTGTTGTTTGTTGGCTTCTGATAAAAGACGTTCAGCTAACGGGATCTGTGTATATTTTTATCTCGTGACATTTTGTCTGCGTATTAAAGTAATAGGATATCAGAAAATCAGAGAAATCAGACTTCGACCCGTTCCTCAGTTATTGTCGGTTAACGAATTTAGTCTCGATTATCATCAATTCCAAGCTTTATGAAGCTGATCTTTTTCATTTCACCAATAAAAAAATACATATTGTTGTATAATGCCTACTACTACTTATTATTATGATTATTATAATTAAATGCTTTTATGTGTTGTTACCATTACTACTACTATTATAGGCACTCACAGTTCAGTTCCAGTGATAGTCAGCACCTACCGTGTGCATAATGAAGAAGACTTCTTGTTGGGTGGGGGTTGGGGCCAGGGTCCACATCCCTACATGCTGCAACACATGTTGCATTCTTAGGTCTTCTTCGAAAGTTCTCGTTTATTACATTTATATATATATTTTTATTACATATATGTGTTTTTATATTTAAAAGCATAGTTTCTTTTCCTTAACTCAAAAGTCCAAGTTATTTAGTTGCTTTAAAATACTGAATTGCAACAGTTCAGCCATTCAGTGTGTCTTGTTCTATTTTTGTACATTAATGTTAATGTTTCTTGTCTGTGTTCTCGTTGTCTATGTTTATGTTGTTTATATAACCGAATCGTCTTCTGTAAAGCGCTCTTGAGCGTGAGAAAGGCTCTATATAAACACATATATAAATAAAATGTGATATTCTTAATATTTCTAAATATTTCTGAAAAGCAATGGTGAATATAAGATGGCAAAAGCTAAAATGTTCTAAAACATGACAAATAAATATTTTTTGTTATAAATAAAACCAAAAATATATAAATAAAAACAGAAATATCTCGTGGAAGTGAATATAGTAAACGCTGCTATTCTGGATCGCTCCGTAACGGTTGTGTGGGTGAGGGAATCCCTTCACGTCATCGCCTAGGAGACCGAAAACAAAAACACAAGAACGGCGAACCATATATGGGCATCTACGTCAGCGGAACTCCAGTAAGGGGCGGAGACAGAACTCCCTACTTTACAATGCGGACTCAGAAGCTTCATTCAAAGACGAACAGCTCGGCGCCGAGAAAACGACTCCACGACCGCCTTTCGTTCTGTGAACACACACACGTCACACTGCTGGGGGGATAACCATTCAATTTCATGGATTTATAAATGCACATCTTTAAAAAAAGAGCGAGGCGTCACGGATTTTACCCGGAACGCGCGGAGGTGATACTTGGATTGGAGTTTTGAAAGTGTTCTCCGGCGCAGAACTGGACTGCCATCTTAATGCAACTTTTTTGGAAAGAGACTAAGGGCATCTTGACGGAGTCTTCAAGTAAATCTTGTTACGGTAGGTCACGGCACAGCTGAGTGTTGTTTTGTTTTTTTTTTGTTTTTGTTTTTTTTTATCTGCTTTTACGGACTGACACGCAAAAGCGAGCGTAGCCAGACGTTGCACCGTTGGCGCGATCTCTTTTAGAGTGTGCACGTGTAGTCCATAAAGCCCATTTAAACGCTGCGGTGCATTTTCAGCCTTGCCAGAAAGTGCACCACAACAACGCCGCATCTCTCACTGGCTGACAGGTGACGTTCCGTTTTCGCCGGGAGCGCTAGGTTTCTCGGCTCCTCTCGGCTCTGCCGGGGAGATGTTCCAGGGGTTCCCCGGAGACCTCGACACCGGTTCCCGTGGAAGTTCGTCCCCTTCTGCCGAATCGCAGTACCTGTCCTCCGTGGACTCCTTCGGGAGCCCGCCCACCACCAGTGCGCCACAAGTAAGTCCCTTTTACCCTGTTTTCTTTTCACTTCTTTCAGCGGTAACTTACGTGTGCATTTGCTGTCGAGACATCAGCCTGCGCTGTTTAGTCTGCTGCTATACTGTTATAGGACATGGACACAAAACAATGTCAGAGATGTTGCCAGATCATGAAAAGTTGCTATGTGCGGAGTGCAGTGTAACAGAACTGAATACTGCACACTTAAAAATGGGTTCTTAGTAAAAGCAAGGGTTCTATTCAGAACCATGAGTTCTCTATAGAGCCATCTGCATGCTTACAGGGTTCTCTGCATGGTGAAACGGCTCTTCGGATCGATGGAGAATGTAGTGTTGTATGTAAATGGTTCTGTATGGCATCTGTTGTTGTTACAATGTCAGGCGTATAACACATTTTCCATCAATCTGAAGAACAATTTCACCGTGCAAAGAACCATTCAAGCACGAAATGCTTCTGTATAGAACCTTATATGAATCTTACACGGTGCTATAGTTACAGTGAAGCCGTAATTATTCCGATTTCGAAGCTGTGTATAATTTTTCGTCCCCTCTTCAGCGAGTAAATCACCCTCCATCGCTCCGTAGTAGCTGCTAATCAGACCGCTAGCAACGTGTGGAACTCTCCGACGTAGGCACGCACAGCCCCGCCTCCTGCGCAGTGACGTAAATGCGTTCTATTTTGGAGTGTTACGTCGCGTTGCTAAGGGGAACACCGGGGGAGTGACGAGGGAGAAGGGAGGCGGGAGGAACGAGCGAGAAGAGGGGGGAAGTGACTCGAGAGCGCTGATTGGCTGCACTGGCGCATTCGAAGCCGGTGGTCTTCTCCGTCTAACACGCTCCTCATGAACATTCATTAGTTCGAACTCGCTCCGGCGCCGCTGTTTTCTAAATAAAGAAGAGCTGCTTTTTTAAAAATCTCCCCGAGAGTCTGATCGTGTTTCTGTCTTTCTTTCTTTCTTTTTTTGAAAAATTTTAAAATGTTGAATGTGCCTAGTTTCAAACGTATCCTCAAACCAATGACGCCTGTAATTTTATCATTAAAAGCATTTCCTTTCTTTTCAAAGGCATAGCTCCTTTAAAACTGCATAATTAATGTGGCAAGATCATTAAAACGTTGCGCAGACTGCTTTCTACCGCATAATTAGCCTTAATAATAATTAATAATTCATTTAGCATAATTACAAGCCATTTCTTTTTACAAATGCACAGTTCCTTTTCAACTTCACAGTTCATTTTACGTAGCCTACTAGTCTAAAAGGGAACTGTCAGCTAAATTATTATCATTATTATTATTATTATTATTATTTATAAATGTAAAGGCCATAGAAACATTGTGTGACATCCAGCCTAACATATACAATTCTGCATCAGTTTTACTGTTTCTTTAGAATACAATTGCATAGTTATTACTACTTAATTAATGTACGAAATAAGTCTGATAGGGAACCAGAATCAGCTAACTGTTTGTAAGGTAATGGAAGTCCTGAAAAGAGGTAATTATGTAAACAGATGGCACTGGTTTACAGGACACTTTCCTTTAACCCAAATGCTCTATAAGACCCCTTATATGATCTTAATCTGTGCTGTAATGCTCTGCAGGAGTGTGTATCTGCCGCTGGCGGTGTAGGGGCGGGTGGCGGGACAGCCGGCAGCGGAGCAGGGGTGGAGATGCCTGGCTCCTTTGTACCCACGGTGACGGCCATCACCACAAGCCAGGACCTGCAGTGGATGGTGCAGCCCACCCTCATCTCCTCCGTGGCACCTGGGCAGAGTGGCACAGGCACGACCACCATGACCCAGCCGGTGGGCCTGGACCCTTACGATCTGCCAGGGCCTAGTTTCTCCTCTGGCTCAGGCTTCACCCCCCCCAGCTCAGACACTCCGGGCCCAGTCCGCCAGTCTCGTAGCCGCCGCCGCACTCGGGATGAAACGGTAAGTGAGCATCATGTTGAACCAGACGGTTTGTATACATGAAGACTATGAAGCTGTGTCTGAACGTTTGAAAAGTGTGGGCATGTGTTTTTTGCAAAAGAATGCGCTCTCTTTGAAATATAATGACATATTTACATGGCCTCTAATCCCATATTCCCAGCTGACTCCAGAAGAGGAGGAGAAGAGGCGCGTCAGAAGAGAGAGAAACAAACTGGCTGCAGCCAAGTGTCGTAATCGGCGGCGTGAGCTTACAGACAGACTGCAATCGGTGAGCGATTTCAAAACAATGACTTCGGTCATGTGTATATTTCTTTTTTAGTTCAAAGCTTAAGGATTTTTTTGGTAAAAGTCAAAGAAATAGCATAACTGAGTCAGGAGGGAAAAACAAACATACTGAATTATGGTGTTCCTGCACTGCTGCAAGTTTCCCTGTAAAGTCTGAAATAAGAATTTGAATGTCAGGGGTGTCAGGTCAGAGTCTGGAGTTTTTCAGACCACATCATACATGTTTACATATTAACTTCACATGCACAGGCTCAAAAAGAAGGTCTGGGCCAAATGCAAAATCAATATTATTAACATCACTGATGAAGAAATGATCACAATAGTAGATAATTCACTCACAACCTCAGATCATACATCCCTCACCAAAATTTTGACTGTGTTCTCTTTGAATACTCTTTCATCTGCTCAGGGAAGGGGTCCAAAGTACAACCAACATTATAAAATATGCATGTTGTGTGCAATTGCACATTTCCACCACCAAAAATTCCCCATAACTTACATAATGTAGCTTTAATTTTATTTAATGGGATAGTGTAGCTTTAATGGCAAGTTTTCTGTTAGCTGTGGTGCATGACTTATTAATGATGAGGATCAGGTGATCCACCAGGGCTCAATCCAGGTCCTGGATATCTACCACCCTGAAGAGTTCAGATCCAACACACCTAGCTGATATAGTCAGATGCCCCTGAAGGCCTTGATTACCTGGATCAGGTGTGATAGATTAAGGTTTGAGCTAAACTCTGCAGGGTTGTAGACCTCCAGGATCAGGATTGGGCACCTCTGATGTAGATGAATAGTATGAGCTGGTATAAATGGTTGTGATTGTAATGTACTTGTAGTAGTGTGTAGAGTGAAGTCGTCTTATTGGCCAGTGAAATTACATTGAAAATCCTATAATGGATAGAGTAACTATCATTACAATCAAGTGACCAGATGTTGAATGTCTGTATGCCCATTTATGTTGAGTTTAGTCTTATGCTTTTAGAGGAAAAAGAATATATTTACTCTGAATTTGTTTACGAGTATGATTTTGTTCAGTTTTGACCCTTACATATGCAAGTCCTATGAGCGCCAGTCTGCACTTGCATCCACCAGTGCAGATGAAACCTATGTTCTATGGATAGAATTTTGAAAAATACAAAAATGAAGTGATTTGTATATATACATATTTAAAAATAAACAAAACTATTAAGTTCGCAGGAGATTTCTGATCCTTATTATACAGAAGTAAATGCAATCTCACTGGAAATGTTTATGAATCTCTGTGCACAGCTCTGCAATTGATGACAGTATCTTATGCTTTTAGAAGCAACATGTAAGATGGACAACATGTTGTTTCCTAGAATAAAATTACTTTTATGTGTCATTGTTATGGACAAAATGTTAAATGCCTTTGTATGTCTTTGTTAATGCTTTTGTATCATGAGTAGGGACCAATGGCAATACGAAGTTCTTGTAATTTCTAATAGAATGCTCTGTTAATTAACTTTTGTGCATGTTGAAGCACTTTGTGTCTATGTCGGTGTCTGTCCGTCTTGTGTGTTGCTCAGCATCTCTCTCGCTCTCACTCTCCTCCCCTCTTCCAGGAGACAGACATATTAGAGGAGGAGAAGGCCGAGCTGGAGGCCGAGATTTCGGAGCTGCAGAAGGAGAAGGAGCGACTTGAGTTTGTGCTCATCGCCCACCAGCCCGGCTGCAAGATCCCGTACCAGGAGGAGGCTCCGGCGCAGCTGCAGCAGCAGACGCCCCCGCCTCCTGCACCTGTCTCCGTGGTGGGACTGACTGTGAAGGAGGACACTTTCTACCTGCCTCCTGCTTACTCGTCCCACCACCACCACCTGCCAGGCTCATCGCAGACTCAGCCACCTTCGGCGCAGCAGCAGCCACCGCAGCAGCAGCAGGGGATGATGCAGGAGGTAGCCTTTTCTAGTTCTTTCTATGAGCAGAGCCAGCCGGCGCCGGGCGGCCCGTGCCTCGTTGCCGACGGTGGCGGTAACCCTGACGCCGGCAGCTACAACCCCTCATACACATCTTCATTTGTGTTCACCTACCCAGAGGGAGCCTGCGGGGTCAGCGCTAACCAGCGAACCAGCAGCAGCGAGCAGTCCTCTGACTCCCTGAACTCGCCCTCACTTCTTGCGCTCTGAGAGCCCTGCTCTTTCCTGCCTGTCCTTGTTCTTTTCACATACTCACACATATCAACGTGCATATACAAACACGAAATTTACTTCATTGATTGCAGAGCCGCACGCAGAGTTTCATAGTCATGTTTAGTGAGATTGCATTCACTTCTGTTAGCATAATACCTTTGTTATTTCATGTTAAGCTTCAGACGTCTTAGTACCGTATTTATTCAAAGCCTTTGGGCATTTTTCGGTGAATTATTTTTGCACACATAGTTCAGAATTGGAAATATTGTCAAATACCTCGACCGGTCAGCAGTCCTCTCAGTTTTATCGCTCCAACCAAGCAATTCTGCACCATCCTTAAGTGCTTTAGTAGCTTAAATCGAGCCTGAATGACTTCATCAAGTATTAATTTGTATTGAATTCAGGCATAGTATTGAAATGAGTCACCACCGCCAGAGCCTGTGACATCCCCGCACATCCACACTCACACATTCAAAAGACACCTTATAACACAAGCACTTAGTTATACTTATCCCTTCCCGCTGCTCTCTCTCTCTCTCTGCTCCTGCTCACATTGGTGTTCCATCTCTCTCTTTCTCACCATGCCAATCGTCTGCAGAGTGTATTTGTCTGAGCTGAAAAAAAGGGGACAAAGAACTTTTGTGGCTTCCATACTTGGTTTTTGGGTTTTTTGGGGAGACTGCGAAATCCTGCAAATCCTCCCACCCCCGCTTTCTTCATCCCTCCATCTAATCCTCCTCTTGCTTCTTCTTTGTCATTGTGCTGGGACTATGAAAATGAGGGACATTGTTGCCCATCCAACAGTCAATCAATCAGTCAATCAATCAATCAATCAGTCTATCTCTATCTATCTCTCTTTTTCTTGTCTCCCCCGTCGTCCATCTGCCCATCTGTTTCTCCTCTCTCCTGTCTCTATGTACCTCTGGTTCTCTGTGAAGTCTTCAGCCCCTGAGAGCCCATTGGACCCTGAAAGCCCCTGGACCCTTGAATGATCGGCGGGCCACCCCAGAGCCACAGACCCCCACCCCTCCCCAGCATGGACCAGCCTGCTGCACTGCACAGAGGAACCGCAGAGCTTTTTACTATGAGCAGACCTTTCAAAACAGCCAACACCAGCTATAGCATGCAGATCAAACGACGGCAAGCGGAGTTTCAGGCCACAGCAGGCCCAAAGGCATGGGATTCCTTTGTTACATCCTTCATGAGGATTTGCTTGAACGGTTGGGCAAATGTAGGGAACAGACTGATGTAGGGAAGGGGCTTGAAGAGTTTAAGGCCAGCAGAGGAGCTCTTAGGCACGGCCGTGCCCATCCGAGGTCTGGAGGCCTCTGAGAAGCAAAAAGGAGAGAAAAGGCTGACCTTCACTTTGCAGCTCTCCACTTCTGAATCCACCCTGTCTGGTTTCCCATGTCATCTCTTGCCTGTTATTTGTCCTTGTGTTTTCCAGACCATTTAAATGCCACACCCCCTCCACCGAAGACAGTTTTCTGTGGTTTCCTGTCCATTTCCATGATAGTATTAGCTTTGACCCCTCAAAAAAAGTGGCCTAACTGAAGGTTACATACAAAAGGCGGCTCTTAATGTAAGTGGCACATGTCTTGTCAGTCAGTGTTGGCTAGCTTGGTTTTGAGAAACCTTGAAAAAAAAGTGAAAAAAAGAACTTTTGAAAATTTTTGAAACAACCTCTTAGCACTTGGACTAGTGGCCTCTGTAAGTTCCCATAGTCCTTTACAGCCTGACTCTGTCCTTTAGTAACCCATCGTGGGCAGCTGCAGGCTTTTATTGTGAAAGGGCATCACTGAAGCTGCTTCTCCAGTTTATTTCTTTCTTTAAGGAGGTTGACATGTTGAGAAAGCACAATTGTGGGCCAAAGCAGATGGAGGAAGAAAGACAGGAGTTGTTTATGAATATGAAAACTTTATTTTCCTGTGAATTTGCTAATTATTGTTTTTTGATATCTTGAGTTAAGGACCTTTTTTTTGTTACGCTTTTCTCTTTTGCTATTGATTGTGCCGTTGCTGCCAAATGGAGGAACTTTGCGGGGGGCCGTGAGTCGCTCCTTTTCTCTGTTACTGTTGTCTTATTGTAATTATAAAAATATTGTTATTATTATTATTAATAATATTATTTCATTGTTATCAACATTTGGCAACTAAAAAAGACATGTTGTGCACTATGAACCTTTTTTATGTCATAAAGTATCCTAAAAAAATGCTCTATATTATGTATGCGTATATATACATATTCATTGTGTATATATACTGTATGTACAATGATTGTAATGTATGAATGCTCAGAAATGTAAAATGGTTATTTTTGTTAATGAAGACAGGAGGGCGAGCTTGTTGCAGCTGGTTTTGGTTTTAAACATAGATATTTTTCTAAAAGAACAAAAAACTATATTATGATATACAATAATAGCCCGCCTTTCCCTCAATATGAAAAGCATTGTCACTGCCTTTGCTCTATTTGCTGTGTATTTATATGTTCTATATATAAAACACATTGCTATGTATGATGAGTATATTCGAACTGTGGTGCATATAATGGTATATATGTATCATGGGTTTATGGAGGTGATCTTGTGCTTTTTTTTTTTCGCTCGTGCTTAGTTTGTCAGTGTGAGGTTGGTCCCACAGCCCTTGCTCATCGACCCCTGTGGACAAAACACACTGGACGCAAACAAATAATAAATAATAAAACAAAGTGAAGAGAAGAATTGAGTGTCTCGATGTAGATTGAATATTTGTGCAAAATTCACATTGGAACCTTGTGGTCAAGCAATATCCTTTGTATTTCTGTACTGATTTTCACACTCCAGTGTGTACTGTCCCCACATACAAGCACAAACTCTTGGTCTCTCACAGATTCATGACATTTTGGGCTGAACGATTCATTGTTTTAACATCGAAATTGCACTTTCAAAGTGCAGTTTTCGGATCGCAAGAGCTGCGATTTTAATTATATTCTGAATTATTCAGCATTGCATTAGGTTGTAAGTGAGATTGTACTTAATATCACTGTGGTTCTGGCCCAAAAAAGGCAAGGAGCTTAATTTATTTTTTTTTTAAAAAAGCATTTAAATTGAAAAATTGACCAGAAAAAAATGCAATTCTCTATTTTCCCCAAATCATTCAGCCCTAAACTAGCCAGGATGGTTCCGTAGTAGTCATAGGGGTTATTATTACAGATTATAGATGGCGGCCTTAAGAAATATTCTCTATTTCAACCATAAACAAGTAGACATTTCTGCATGTTTAGATGTGAGAACACACACTTCTCACACTTTACACATTCTCACATAACTCACATTCACCTGCAAGTGGGATGAACCTCCGAAAAACGAAAATGTTCAACTGTGCAAATTTATTATTTTTTTTTGTTTTATATTCCAAAATCTCTATATAAGTGCACCACTTGTCTTGTAAAGCATAATTGTACTGAGGTTCTTTTCATCTAAGCTATGGAGTAGAATAGATTTCAAAGAGAAAGATGTTTACAGAGGGTGGCACGTCTGAAGCTGAAAGGTCCAAGTGCAATTCTTAAAGTGTTGATCCAGCAAAGCTCTCTTTGGTGGTTTTCAAGCCTGATGTGAGGATAGAAGCTTGCAGAAAAGTCCTCTGGTATTACAGTATCGCACGCAGACCTGGTTTTGGTGCTCGTAGTGCACTGTTGGTGCTTTTCGTCACTCTTAAGCCAAAACATAGTGTTACTGTATTCCTTAACGTACCATTATTGAGACTAACGTGGAGCATGGCGGGGTTTCCATTCAAGATAGTCTTCCGCTTTGCAAAAAAAGACGCCCAGTGTCGTTTGCAGTGATTGTCTTTGGCTTTCTCAAATTCTCAATGCTTATTGAAATGCAATATGTAGATCCTCTGGGATGACCTTAGCATGTAGCACATTAGCTGACCTACGAAAACAGTGGCATTTCTAATGTTATGTAATGTTGATATTAATGGTGTCATAATGAGGATGAAGAGAAGCCACTGCCTCTCACCTCAGTGGACGTGTTCTCGCTGGTGAAGCTTTCTGTCTCTATCACAAAATGCCTTTGATGATTCAACAAGGGCCTTCTTTAATAACGTCTTACAATCCGATCCTAAATGTATAGTTGTATGCAAATGTTTCAACAACCCATATTTTGTTGAAGTGAAAATCCTCGATGGGACATTTTTCTGCAAATTTCTATTTTAACATGTTGGAAAAAATAAAACATAAAATATAAAATGTGTCATCATTTTTGCACAAGCCACATTTTATGTTTTATTTTTTCAGCAAATAGACAGTGATTGTGCATTAAATTGTGCAGAAGTGTTCCATGTAGAGGATGCATTAACTCAAAAAATCAAAAAACGTGATTTTTTTAGCCCAGACGTTTGCATATGACTGTATGTGATCATTAAAAAAGTTGAAAGATAACAGAAAAGGTATGATGCATCTTTATTTCTGAGAGGTGTTTTGCTGACTTTTTTGAACGTGGAGCCTCAACTAGTATCATAAGCTTTGGACGAACTCAGAATTTAAAACCTTTATCAATATTTGTACGTCTGTGTTTTATGGTGCCGATATGTATGATAAATGAAAATGTATGATAAAAAATGTTTGTTTGAAATGTACTTGACGGAAGTGGCTGGGATCTTTTTAGGCCAGGGGCTGTTAGTTCTGTGGAACAGAACATTTTGACCCCACAGGCCAACGGTCCTGCCCTTTCAGCAGTTCTCATCATTCGCTAGTATATATCTAAATCAAGCTGACTGGCCCTCAGAGGGGTCTATAACGACATCCTCCATTCTTTCCATATCTTTATCGTTCTCAGTTCCTGATTTACTCTCGATATCTTATTAGCCCTTTACAAAATCGAGAAGGACTTTTCACTTTGTTGCATAGACTGTGAAAACTGAGTGTGCTAACCTATCTGAATTTCTTCGTTTGATCATCTTTTCTCGTTTAAAAAAAAATGTCATTAAAATAAACTGAAGCGTATTGAATTTTCCTCCCTTTTCTCTTTGGGTTTATTGAATGTTTTTGAATATGTTTCTCATTGAAAACATTGTTATCATGTTGTCAATTCCCGATTGCAAATGAGTGACATCTCAACACGGATACGTTTAAAGATACTAATAACAATTTAAAAAATAAACATACTGCACCAAGTCAATTCATCCACATGTGTGAACATGCTTAGGGTTCATTTGCAACACATATATAAATGAAACACACAGTGTGTAAAAAATTACTTTATTTCAGCATATTAGTTTATGTCTATAACACTTGTGTGCAAAAGTTTGAGCACCCTGGTCAAATTACTTGTTCTGTTGATCTTCAAAGTGACCATCCTTTACAGAGAACACACTTCTGCACATTTTAATGCACATTTTTCTGTTTATTTGTTGAATTTAACATGTTGAAGGAAAACATAAACCACAAAATGTGGCCTGTGCAAAAGTTTAAAGTTAAATTTGTTAAATAAAGTTACATTTTTTCTTCAGTATCTTCAATATGTGTTCAATATGTTATCATTTCAATGTGTTAAACTAGCTGTAGAGGATGCGTTAACATATTTTCACTTAGAAAATCAACAAAATGTGTCATTTAGGGCTGAAAGTTTTGCATACAACTGAATAACATTATATTATATTAATTACAGGCCAAATATGGAAGTCAAAAAAAATCCTTTTTTTCATAATGTTATTGATAAGAAACATTAGTATGTTTATTAGAACTAAAGGGTCTACAGAGTCCAACTAAGTGTTAATTAGTTTAGCTCCAAGAGATTGACCTGCATCTCTAATAAGAACCAGCTGATTATGAATGTGGGTGAATCTGTTAGGAGTTTGTGCTTGGTGTTCTTGTCTGAGCAGGGAATCAAGCCCTAGTCTGCTGTGTGGAGGACAGCTGTGTGACCCGAACATTATTCTAACCGCTACCCCATTCGGATGCCCCTGTAGGCTAAATGTGTCCAAAGAGTTTGGAAAGAGATTAAATCTGCTCAGTGTAATGTAATACACTGCAAACTAATGGGAAAACTGGAAACCAATGGAAATTTTTATTTTGTTATAGTAGATGTCACTGAACATATTGCGTTATGTTGGTCATTCACAATGGCCTGTAGTGCAGTGTCCAACTGGCACTACCCACCACCCCTGCATATTTGAGTGTTTTCATTCCAACTTATCAGCTCATTAAAAGCCCTTCCTGAGGTGAAGTGGGTGTGTTAAAGTCAGGAAAGCACAAAAATGTGCAGGGCGCCTTCAGGACCCAGACTGGAAAACACTGCTGTAGTGTGTATCAGCGTTAGTAAAACTGTGTAGTGTATTGAAACCAACTGTAGAGAAAAATATTCAATAAAGGAAAAACACCCACTGTGGCTGTGTTTTGATTTTAATGATTCACAGAAATAATTATCAGATTGGAAATGTAACTCAGAGTTAGCTCCACTTCATGTTTTCCTGCTCTAACACACCTCATTAAATTCCGCCATGACATTTTTTTTTCTTAAACAATTAAAGTACATTACAAGTACAATACAATCAAGAGTACAAACAACACAAACATATAACAGGGGTATGTGATACATATCAATACATACCATATCAAATTCATATGACAAAAAAGATTACATTGATTAAATTAGAGAAGAGTCCACACAGCTTTTATGTGTTTACATTCTGTGAGAGTCCATAAATATGCTTTTACAGTTAAACTAAAATGTTTGGATTGTTTCCACACAATTTCTCTTAATGTATATAACATTACGCAAGTATATTTATTAAATGTTTTCAGTGGTGTTAAACACGGGCATAATATGTATTTCCTTAAAAAAAGAATGCCTTGTCTGCCTTGTGTTTTATATATTGAAAATCAATCCAGATGTTTTCTACTATGAGACACAAACAAAAAGATACTGTATACGTGTTTGTTTATATGCAGTTTAAGAGCCACAATCACAAAAAGTAGAGTTATAATTTATGTCAGTTTTATATCAAACAACAACAATTGCTACTATGTAAATTATTTTACATGATACTTCTTTAACCTTATAAGTAACTCAGTATTTGTTTGCCATCGTTATAATTTTTTTCCAATCAATCTGAACCTCTAATAAGGTAATCAAGAAAAAGCAACTGCCAAAATAGTATCAGACTGTAATAGGAATTGTGAAAAAATAGGTTATTACATCCAGGACTCGAAATATCTTTTGCTTATAACACTAGCATTAAAATCTTCCATGGTTTCTGATACGATGTCATGACAGACACAAAACTGCTTCAGCAATTGCATTAATAACAGTTCAAGTCAATTCACGTCTTTATGGTCATTCCTCAATATAACTTGTATACATTGGAATGAAATGTAGTCCTTTAGGCCCCAAACACACAACAACACATTACACTGAACCGCATATACAGATGCACAACAGTGTGAAGCAAAATATACAGTAAACACACTAGCAAATAAATATCCTGAGCAATAAATACACAAGACAATAAACACTAGACAGGACAACAAAACAATATATGTGAATGGACATCATGCATATACACACATGGATTGGTGAATGCAGCATGTGAGTGATGAATATTCAAATAGTTAAAGAATTTAAAGTGTAGGTGTGCAGTAATGGTAAAGGGGTGGGTGACGAGTCTGTGGTGGATGTTGGGGGGCATCAGTGCCCTGAGTAATCAGAATGGATCCAAACTTATATTAATATTGTATCTATTCACAAAGCTGCAGAGGGACCTGGTGATTAGCTAATTATGATGGGACTCGGATGCAGGAGAAGCAGTGCAGGGCTGGAACAGGAAAACACAGGAATACGTGTTTCCTCCGTTTGGATTAATGGTGTTTTGCTGCACCCTAGTGGTCAACAAACAGCAAAGAAAGCAGATTCTTCAATAATTTGAGTGAACCACATGAAGAAACCTTAAATGCATTAGGAATAGGCCTTTAAAAAAAAACACAATAAACAGAACTGTAAAAAATGTACACGTGTACATGCACGCATGTTTATCAGGTTAATGGAATGCTTTCTTGCCTTCAACCACACGTTTTATTCTTCCAACCGACGCTAATGGCTAAACCAACGTACACAAACCTACGCGGAACAAAAACATCCACAAACACGTGTGTTTTTGGTCGTGTTAATCTCTTCGATCACGGAGGGAACCCGAGCGGAGAACCGTTCGGCGTGACGTCGCGCTCGGAAAATTTCGTTCCTCCGATTCCTTCCGAACATCGGGGATATTGCGTCACGACGGAGCGTTTTCCTTTTTTTTCCACGAAGATGGCGTCCGTGACAACAGGTGAGAGAAAGAAATGAGCTCCGAGCGGCTCTGGGGTCGGGATTAATGTCGTTTTATCGGTGTAAATCGTGGCCAGAATCTTTAGTCTTGTCCTAGGTGATGAGGACGCCTCGAGAAGAGGACGTTTAGCGCACGTTTTATGTGTGATAACGAGGGCAGATGCTAAGCTAAGCTAACAAACCTCTCTCCGTGTGCGCCGATTGATTGCCGACACGGCAACGGCGATGAGTTAACTTCCCTAACTTTGTTTACTGAGCCAGGCTGAAGTCGGCTTAACATTTCCCGGCATCTTGTTCGAATTTTCCCGTTCTACCTTAAATGGTGCAGCAGTTACTATTATAATGCCCCAGGCGCTAGAATGTAACTCTTGCTCCATTTAAGGTGGAACGGGAAAATTTGAATAGGAAGCCGCTTCAGCCTCGTTCTAACTTCATTTTCTGAGAGGTCTGGTTATTTATATCGCTGATGTGTAGTGAAACCCCTGAATGCATTTCCAGGAGTGTTTTCTTAGGCTAGTAATACTAGTATGTTGATATTTCACCGCGTTTTAAAAGCACAGTCAAATTGAGGACACGAGAAACGTTTCACATTAAGCATTTGCCATCGATGGTTTCGTTCAGGGTAGCGCCGTTTTTATTGTTCCGCTGTTAAGTGTGTGAATTGAAGTAATCCCTGGCTGTTAATAAGTAGATGTGTAAACTGTAATATCTCGCTTTTTCCTGTCTTTGAATGAGCATCGGAACCAAAGCCATGGTGTTCAAGCAGCTCTCTCTAATGGGACCAATGGCTAAGGGGACAGAGGGATTTAGAGATGTTTTAGAGAAAATGGATTTATTTACATAAACAAAGGAAAGCTACCCATATGGAAATCTGTTATATGACCATATATGCACACGTATCTTAAATAAATCATAAAGGATTAGGCATATAATTTGAAAGTATTTGGTCATGTATGTAGTGTACATATGTGTAAGTATAAAATACTGGACATGTGTACTTAATACATGGATCATACATAAAATGTAATGAAGCTAGTATATGAGTAATATATTCCACCCATATATGAATAATATTTTTTTGCCATGTATGTTTAAATAGATGTGCTACACATATATGTTTGCATAATTTGCTATACGGCTGAAATATATGTTCCATTTGAAAATGTTTAATTTCATATGTCCGTATATGACACAATCTAAAAGGGATGTAAGGGGAGTTTATATATACTAACATATGTCATATATTTGAAATCTATATGTTGCCATATATCAGATTTCCGTGTGGGGAAAATGTGTTAATCTGTTATCCAGTAATAGTATCAGCTCCTACCTCACATTTAGGTTAGGCATGTAATGAAAGTCTGTGCAACCCAAAATCTTTTTTAAGAGTATTCTAACAATTTGTCCTACCGAACACACGTCATTACTGCGGCGTAGCAACTTGTGTTTTTTAATGTTAACTCATACTTACTCGAAGTGTATTGTACAGTCTGTTGTATTGTCCAGCTCAGTAATGCTACTGACCCCTCGATAAGGTGATTTAGGCTATCTACTTGCTGTTTTAATGCTGGTAATATTTCCTAAATAGAGTGATTTAGGTTGTCAGTTCATCCTGCGTATATATTTCAATGCTGGTGGTATTTTTGATGCGGTTAATTTAGGCTGTTAAAATGTCCTACCTATAGTTTTACTGCTGTTCTCATTGTCTGATACAGTGATTTAGGCTGTCAAAATATCCTGCCTACAGTTTTATGTAGGGCGCTGCCTATAATTATGTGCTACGGTAGAACATTTTGACAGAATAGCACAGTTTATCAAAACACTGGCTTCACACGCTGTTTGTCTTGTCAGATCAAATACATCTGGAGTAAAGGGAAAGTTCTGTAAATTAGATTTTCCGGTGAACCACACCTCTAAATGCCAATATTAGGTGTTGTGCCTTTACTTATATGCTCCTGGGTGCGTAAGAGTCAAGCTAACCCACATTTTTGTATTGCTGCGCTGACTACACCCAGCCCAGCCCAGCCCAGCTTGCTAGCATGCTATTTTGACACTTTTATCAGCTAACTAGATCATCAGTGATTGTGTTATTTGTCTGGATACCCACCACACGATTCAAAGCAGAGCACAGATTAGTCTCTGCAGCTCCATTCAGAAGTGTGTGAGCTGCCTTGGGAGATTCTCTTCTGGCTCTGCTCACTGCTTTAAAAATAACACCCAGCTGCTTTGCCACTCGTGTTCTCAATGGGTCATGTAATGTTACGTTCCTGTGCAGCTGACCTACGACTGGCTTTTGCGAGTCTGATGGTCCGATTTAAAATCGGAGAACCTAATGGGATACTGCATTACAGTGGTGTCAGATTTGTGGCCCTCCTGGACTGAGGTTTGACACTTGTGCTGAACTTCAAAGACTGAACCTGTCAGGCCTCGTTCACAGTCCATATAGTTCATTTGTGTTTCAAAAGAAAGGCATTCTGAAGACTTAAGGTATTTTAACGCCACACTCTAGGGAGCGTGCTCGGAAAAGGTCATGAGCACAGTGCCTCTGATGGTTTGAACAGATTTTTAACTTTATTGCTCTTTGTTTCATCCTCAGCCACTTCAGAGTGGATCCAGTTTTTTAAAGATGCAGGAATCCCGCCTGGCCTGGCTGTTAACTATGCTGTGTCTTTTGTAGACAACAGGTAAGAACCTCACCTTGACAGTATCACTTACAGACCTTATCCTGGGATTGGCTGAAACATGCATCAAGCTGTGTTACCCTGCGTTCACACCGGCAGCGACTTTTTGCCTCGTCGCCCAAATCGCTGGTCGCTTATTGCCTGCGGGCATTTCTAAACTCCAGCGGACCATTGGTTGCCATGGTTTCACTGATGCTAAATCGGCACAAATCGGATGCGTTCCCACTACAAATGAAAATCCTGGTGAGAAATCGTTGTGTGCTTATTTTTTATTTAATCGCTGTGTCTGTGCAGTCAGTTTGTGAGAAAAACAGTATTTGGTCTTTGTGATTACTGTCTATTTGCAGCGAAAGCACCGGCACCGTTATTCAATCTCTAGTAGGAACTGTTACCTAGGAACCAAAAAAGGAGCCGTTTCACAGTGGCAGAAATAAAGCGCGTACTAAGCTGCTCAATGCTCTCTCCCTGTGGGTAATTGCCATATCGCTTCGCTCCTCATTTGCATAAAGTTAAACTCTGCTCAACCTGGTTGCGTCGCTGACTCCACCCACTTCGCTTCGCTAACGTTTGTGCCGCCTCCTGTCACTGGAAATCGCCAGCTTTCGTTGTAAATGAATGACCTCCGGCCACCTTGTCGCGTTGCTGCTGGTGTGAATGCAGGGTTACTGTCTTTGTAGTTATAGAGGGTGTTTATGGACCTATTCATGTTTAGTCTTTATTAGGAGTGTAAGAAAGTAAAGTAAATAAACTCATATTTATTTATTTCCAGGGTACACTACAAAGTGCTTTACAACAATACAGTTATAGTAAAAACATAATACACACTAATACATCACCCACAAAACAATTCAACAATTCATATATTGCATCTTTTTATTTTGGCTAGTGTGTTAGCTTGTGTTTTAGCTCAGGATCAAGCAAGCACAGCTTTTGCTTAGTTTTTCTCTGCTGCTGAGAAGCTAGTTTAAATAGCAAAACTGCACTGTGCCATTCTAAAGTTTAAAATATTGTACTTTTATAATGTTGAATGCACTAATGAAACGTGCTTATTGACGTAAGGCCTGTTTTCAGGCACTTCTTATTTCTGCTGTATCAAGACATATTTCATGGGTTGGTTTTGATCGATATTGCAAACCGATATTTGACCATGTATTTAATGTACTGTCTGCTTAATTGTAATGTTTGCATTTTACTCATTTTGTTGATTTTATAGACCTATAGAAGTACATGTTCTAAGCTACGTGATGATAATTTAGGTGGATGTAGTCCTAATGTTCATGTATTCAGGCAGGTATACATAAAAATATCAGCTTCAGCCAACAGTTCCCATAATAGTGCTTCCCTAATAGGGACACAACCTGAACACCTGGACACAAATTGAATTATGAATCTGAATTGTTACATCCTTAATCTCTACATAGCTTACAGGTGTGGGGTGTTTGTAATACGCAAAAACCTAATGCCACATTGCGAACAGTGTACAGTTCCTCTTGAACCATTTGTTCTGTGTTTGTTTGTTCGATTGTAAACATCGACTCTTTGCTCTGTTCAGAATTCAGAAAAACATGCTGATGGATCTCAGTAAGGAGATCATGATGGATTTGGGCATCACAGTCATCGGGGACATCATAGCCATTCTCAAACATGCCAAGCATGTCTACAGACAGGTGGGCAAAGCCTCTGATGGCTGGAGCAAAGTGAACAGTATTTGTGTTTAAAATCCATTTGTTTTCTCACATTTGGTGACGTCCATAAATAGTATCTCAAAGATTATTGGAATTTTACAGATAACGCTTCTATATTAGATCACAGAATGGTGCATACGGCTTTCATTTTTCCAATCCAAGCTCAAAAAGGCATTTGTTTAAACCAGCTATTAATTAATACAGATGCACAAAGGACGCTAAGACTAATTCTATCTGCTGAAGAATAAATACATAACAGCATTTTTCAAGCTTGTTAGACCACAACTTTGTGGAGATAATTTGTATGATAACACAAGAGTTTGACAAAACATATAAGATTTGTTGACCTCGTCTGGATTGTTAGGCATGTTCTTCACTCTCAAACTGAGTTACAGATGAGAAAGTTGGATAGAATAATGCAATATAAAGGCCAAGAACAGTCAGTACTCAGACTGCATCGTGATAGTGAGATGGTGTGACTCTACAGGAGATGTATTTGCCCAGCCCTACTTTTCAGACTGGCTCTATGATTCACTGCAGTCTTATCCCACTTGGGAGAGAGTTATACTGGAAGCCCATAACTCTGGCTAAAATTATATTGTGCCTGCTTGACCTAATATTTTTTGTGTTACAGGCATTGAATGTGGCGCATGTTTTGTGTCCTAACATTTAAAACACCATTCATATCCAGTACAAACCACCATTTTGTAAAGACAAAAAGCAGTGACAATACAGTATCTTGCCCTGTGGTCTTCATCAAAACAGTGCCTTGACAAATGTTAAAATGGATTAAATGTCGTGGACTGTAAATTAGGGCTGAACGATACATTATATGTATATCATGATATGAGTTTCTACAATAAACACACCCCAAATTACCTCATACACGCAGCGCAAGATAGACGTCATATCATTGCCAACACAAACTGTTAGAGGCCTAATGAGTGCCTCTCTGTGCTGGAATTGAACCCATTTGGCCAAATGGCCAAATGCAAAACTCACATGCACAGCAAAACTCCTCCATCCTGAACTACAAACCTATCAATGCATCAAACATTAGGATTGTTGTCACTCCCAATATTATTTTTTTATGTGTGTAAGGCAGTAATGGCTACTGTCACAACAAACATGTTTAATGACTAAACAAAATCAATAAATAAATAAGCTGAAATAGTTATTCGTTCTTGTGCACCTATAAAAATATGCATTTATTTGTTTCTGTGGCATTTATAGTAAAAGCTGTTGAGGTAATGCTGACTGTTTCTCAGCCTTTCAGTGCACAAAAAAGGGCTTGCAGTTCTGATGTAAGTAGCTGTTAGTATTTCTTTTTGTTTTGCACAATAGAGATATGGTGCTTTTGTAATTTTGTATTATGCTATGCACTTAAAGGCGATGTTGGTGAGATTTCTATACATCCAAAAAATGTCTGTACTTACGTCACATCCAGTCAGAGGCACTCTATTATAAAAATAATTGATTGCTTCTCATATCATCGTCATGTTATCCGACAGCTTTATTGATCACATTTTATGTCTGTGTTGTACAGCCCTACTGTAAATGAACACAAACCCTTTTCCTTCCTGCGTTTTTGTGTAGGACATGTGCAAAATGGCCACTGAAGCCATTTCCTCTGGCCAGACCAGTGTTCAGGCTGAGCTGAGGCGCACTGCCAACACTCGTGAGTATTTCATGTTCTCAAACATGCTTCCTTGACAAAACCTGACATTCCCTGAAATGATATGGTTCTGATAGGAGTGATAAAAGGAAACTAAATAATATTTGAGAGTGTAAATGAATGAGCTTTGTTATTTTTATCTGCTGAGAATTATAAACCAGTAGTGTTGGATTGATATGAAAGTTTTGACTTTGGTGTAAATACTAGATCAATACAGCGTAAAATCTTAGTTATTAAAAATGTGACATATTCCAGGCATAATCTAAGATGGGGATGGGGGTCCTGTTCGTTTTTAAACCTGAGCTGTTGTAAATGTTCCACTCTCTTTGGCAGTACCTGAAGTTGAAGCTATTGTTATTTAGAAACAGATTCCCAGAAGCAGTTTAGCTCATTTTTACTCTTTAAAACAGTCATTTCTACCGCCCTGCTTGCAGGCAGCAGACTACAGTTATTACATGATCTCCTCTTTCCATGAACATGCTAAGTATGCTGGCTCCACCATGTTAGATCTGAACTCATATTTGTATTTCTTCATTTTCCATCACGCTGAGTGAACACAGCGGACACAGCACTGGGAGATATGTGACTCAGCAGCAGTGTCTTTCCCCAGAGCACAGTCACAGCGTGCTGACTGTGCGACAGCTTAAAGAAGCTGTGTTTTTCAGTGCTGCAGTATAAAGCACATTTTTGTCATCAAAATCTGCAAAATATGGCTCTGCACTGTTTAAAATTTTTGGTACCACAGTCATTTTTAGTACCGGAATACTGGACAGTCCTATAACACAATTAGGATATTTTGCATATTTCTTCTATTTGGGCACTTTTGAAGATTTTGAACGTGCTGTGTGGATGACGTTTTTTGGTGTTTTATGTAGTACTTTTGTTCTCAGAACACCAGCAGCTTCTTTGTTTGATTGCATATGTTTTATTTTTTGTGTGTGTGTATTTCTTTTTCACAGTAAAGGCTTCTTGACAGCTACACATCTACAGATCTAAAGCAAGAGTGGAGCTTGATTTACATTTTGGAAACTTCTTTTTTAATTTATTTTCTTTTGACTTTGCTTTTCCTTATGCAAGTGGGGTTATCTTAAGTCTAATTTCCTGAAAATGTCTACTGAAAAACTAGTAACTTGTACTTAATAGATGTTATGACTGGAAATTAAAAAAGCAGAATTGCTAATTATTCTTACTGGCTTTTCCAGCAACACTGTCACTCAACCCCCAGTACATTTTATAGATATACTAGATTAATTAGTAGAGTTCCCTTAAGCTGGTTTGTATATCTGGCATGCTGCTTTAGAAACAAGCGTTTGAGGGCAAGTTGCCCTGCTAAACTTCATAAATGAGTCTACATGCTGGAACCAAAACTGAACATCATGAAAAACCACTTTTAAAGGCTCGCAGTGATTTGTTTTTGTTTGTATGGCATGAAATGAGTCATTTTTTAACAATATTTTGGTCCACAACTGAATACACAACTTGAAATGTTGCACAGGGGAGAAAATAACACATCTTTTGTAGTTGATGAAAAAATTCCATGATGTAAATGTAAATGACTTTCCAGTTCCCTGGTTATGACTTTGAGATTAGCTCTGTGCTTTTGTCAGTAATTAAGAGTGTGTTGTTGTGGTTGCTCAACTGCTCTCCTCTTTCAGCTGCCACACGCATGATTGCCAATGCCTTGAGTCGGGACTCCCCACCGAGCACGCCTGCCCGTCGCTCTGACAACCGCCTCTCTGTGACAGTCTCCAACAACAGTGCCAAAGCGGGTACCTCTCTTCTCACACTAGCATCCCTTCTTGTTGCCTCTGCTGTCACCATGTCATCGGGTGTTAGCCTACTGTAAATGTTTATTTCTCAGTGAGCACGAACGTCTTAGGCACAGATTACAGCCGTGTGACTGGGAGACATCTGCTTGGTGCCCACACCTCCCTGGTTTTCACACCTTTTTTCATTTCTCACTGTTCAGCCTTTTCCTTTCGTGTTTGTTTGTTTTTTTTTCTAATTTCTCTCCTTTTTCTCGTTTAGCCGTCAGTCAGCCTGCAGATGAGGAAAACAGCTCACCGGTGAAGCGTCGGCGAGTTACAGCAGAAATGGAGGGGAAGTATATCATCAATATGCCAAAGGGCACCACCGCCCGCACCCGACGCATTCTGGCCCAGCAAGCCAAAAAAGGTACATAGAGGTTAACTAACATAAATGCAGGCTTCAGCAGATTTGGATCTTACAAACATAAGATGTTCTTCTTGAGCCTTGGATACACTAAAGCCCCAACAGAATATAAAAGACTTGCACAGAGAGGCACTCATTAGGCCTCTAACAGTTTGTGTTGGCAAAAGTATGGCACACTTTCCAACTGATTTCTGCAAACTTTTGCTTGCTGAACTGCATCAAACGCACACAGCTGTGCACCTAAAACTCAGTTCATTAAAATTGTTCGCTGAACACATAAATGTCTATGAGGCATTTTTCTTTACTTACTTGCTGCATTTAGCTTTTTGTACTCTTGTTTTTTTTTGGCTGTTGGTGGAATCTGTTTGGACTGAGTCAATGACTAGTATACACTACTAGATTATGTTCATAAACACGTTTGATCTACTCCTACTGGTCTGACACTTGATCGGGAGGCAACAAATCTGAGACTGTGCCCCTCACACACTACTCTTTTTTTTTGTTTTTTGTTTTTTTTTGATCCCAACTGTCAACTCCGACTGCCTCAAAAACTGTAAAGTAGAGCCAACCAGCTCAGACTTGGCCAGATTGAAAATCGGGGCAGAAGTCCTGTAGTGTAACCCCAGCTCTACCCAGCTTTATGTGCTCTACCAGGGGTATCAAACTGGGTTAATTCCAGGCCATAGCGCAAAAGAGATTGGCATTTTTCCTTTTCTGAAACTGAATGTAGCTCATGAAGGTCTTACTAATTAGCCAGTCAGTGGAATTGGTTGTGTTTTATTGAGGCAGAACACCGAACTCTGCAGAGCTGTGCCCTGGAATGAACCTACTTTGGCACTTACAACTAAGTGACTGTAATTGGTATGCCTGCTCTTGAAGAAGACGTTGTATGAAAATACACAGTGAACTGATATGACTGTGGTGGAACTACATTTTCTGAAATCTTTCTCATCTGTTCTGTTTACAGCCAAGAGCCTGAAGCGCACTTCGGTGTTTGAGAGGCTGGGGTCAGAGTCTAAGGCTGACGCTGCTACAGCCAATAAGGTAACAGTTTACAATATATTTATTTTTCCCATTTGTACGGAGCCCTGCTGGTGACATCCCATATAATTAAAAATAAAGTGGGGCTTATTAAGACGTGGCAATGAGATAATCAAGACTTAGTAAGGCGTGGGAACGAGATCATGCCTACTAAGTCATGGCCAAGCATTAGGATCTCTTTCTCATGCCTTACTAAGTCATGGCCCTGACTTAATTATCTTGTTCCCACGCCTTACTAGGTTGTGGCCATGCATTATTTTTATTTATACAGGATGTCACCAGCGGGGCTCCATACATTTGACAATCTGTCTGTCTGTTCTTTGTGGCTTTTGGTATTCACATTACCAAAGCTTGGCTGGGTTGATTGCTGTAGGACTGCAACTAAATTATTTCAACAATCAGTTACGTTTTGGCTTAATTAATCAATTAGGCTGCTTTAAATGTGAGTTAATATAACTCCAAATAAGTTAAAAGAATGTAAGAAATCACTTATTGTTCTGTTAACTTACTCATTACAAGTATGATTCATCCAAAGTTTTAAGGCAGCTCAGTTGCTTAATATTTTAGGCTAAAACACCATTTTTTTTTAACAATGAACTGTTTAAACTGTTACATCTCCTACTGTTTCCTCCCCATTACAGCTCTGCCATCATTCCAGGTTCTGTCTGTGTAATGACCATGTGCATCAAATGAATGTTACAGAATGATACTTCAGCTTAACTAAACGATTTTATCATTACCGCCCTATATTGCAGTGCTTCTGAATGCTCATTCTTTTCTGACCATGTTCCTTGCTTGTTTTTCTCACCTTTGTTTCCATCCTACCTCCCCCCCACTCCCCTTTCCTTCTGCAGCAGGTAACAGGAGTGTTCAGTCGATTGGGCAAAGTAGACGACGATGAGGAAGCTGAGAAGAAGGTGGGAGACGGCCCTAGCGGTGATGGGGATGAAGATAGCGACGGTGAAGGCTCAGTGTTGCAGTACGCTGGCGTCCTCAAACGCCCCCCACCGCCTTCCAAAAAAGAGCCTGTTGCACAAAAATCTGAAACAGCCACCGTGTACCGCCTGGGCAACAAATTCAAAACTACCCCCCCATCAGAGAGCACTCCCCCTACCCCCTCCTCTACCTCCTCTGGCCAGGAGGGGGTGCCCAAGCTGAGTGTTATGCAGAGGCTGGGTAAGGCTCCATCAGCCAGCTCCGGTCCTGCCTCCTCCAATTCTGTAGCTGGCCAGTCAGCAGATACGCAGGATAGCCGTGTCACCAGCAGCAGAAGCAAAGCTCAGGGAAGCTTTGCTTTGGCCAGCCCCAAAGTCAGCAGTAGCACAGGGACAGGCAGGGACTGTCACGGGGCTCAGATGGACGCTAGGACAGTCAGTGTTTTCAAGAGACTGGGCGCCAAGAAGACCTAATGCACCAAAATAAACCTCCTAAACACTCCCTCCCTCTGAATGATTTATCCCTAAAAAATCCCACATTCAGGGCTTAGAATACCTACGGTAAAGGAGTAGGAAGGAGTCACACTTTCCCTCAGCATAAGTGGACTGGGAAGTCTGTATGTGCCTTCACAGTCCTGGTTATTTGCAGTGTTATTTCGTTGTAGGAGAAAATGCCTGAAGACAATATACAGACTTTGCATGTCCTCTTGGTGCTTATAGGAATGATATGCACCCTTACCTCTTGCTAAACCCCCTCTAGGGCTGCACAATATGGACGAAATACTTAAATTGCGATTATGTTCCAGGCTATTTGGATTGCAGTATGCTTTGCAGTACATTACAACCACATTGGTGTACCATTAAAGGGGAATTCCACCAGTTAAAAAAAAAAAAAAAATCTGTATCATTCAATCACTGAGATGTAAACAGTCATTTAGAGTAGTGGTTTAAATGCTTCATTGTAGAGAAACCTACCAGCTCTGATTTCTTTACATTGGCAATGATAGGAACCAGGGGTCACACTGTCTACATTGTAGACATTTACAATTCAAAATGACCAGTGAACCTACATGTGTCTGGAGTTTTTATATGTTGATAATGGTAAAGTGGTAAATGTAAAGGAACGTTTCTGTGGGTACTGTTTTGCCCTCAGACGTCCTACATATACCTCTTTAATATGAATGAGTTTTAAAAAAAAATGTTTTATGCCAAAAACCTTGTCAAAACTATTGAAAAACAGTGTCAGGCACCAAGCAGCGTATTCATAACTATTTCATATAATGCTCTTAACTTTGAGTTAGCTTTTAGTGGCTTCAGATCTGTGGTTCCTGTCTCCACCACTGTAAACAGCTCTGACTCTGTATGTCGTCTTAGAATTGTGCGTTTCATTTCACACCTCTCTGACTTTCTTTGCATCTTAACCTGCATTTCTGAATTTTATTATGCAGAAATTCGGTGGAGCTCCCCTGACATGGTTAAAACTGGCCTGTATTATTTTGGCAAATGTGTCAGAATTGGTCAGGATGTTCACAGCACACACTGAAAATAGTGATACATTTGAGGGCTTATATACCGTCGAATGCCAAGGTTTGAGCGCCCCTGGTCGAATTTTGTTTTGTTGATTTTCTAAGTGAAAGTAAGGTAACACATCCTCTACAGGGAACAGATTTTAATGCACAATTACTGTTTATTTACTTAATATCATATTGGAAAGAAAAAATGTAAATGTACCCTGTGCGAAAGTTATGGCACCTTTTTCATTTTTATACTTTATTTTTTTTTCCAGTATGTTAAACTCAGCAAATGAGTAGAAATTGCACGCTTTGACCAGAGGTGTTCAAACTTTTGAATATCACTATTGCAGTATTGCAATCACGATTAACGATCAGTATATTGTGCAGCCCTTCCACCTTCCCGTACCTCTGTAATCACACCCTGCCTTTGAGAGCTACTCTCCACTCTTTTAAGGGAGTCCCTTGTTTTTCTACTGCAGTTTTTTGTACAGCATGTCACCAAGCATCGAATGCCCTAAAAGTGGGTGACCTCCCACTTCCATTCACTAAGAAACCTTTCACGTGAAAGAGTGAGCAGCATTTACCCACAAACACCTCCGACTCCAGATGCCTCGCTTGTGACGCTGTCTAAAAGGGAAGGATCATTTCTCATCTCTGGTTAAGTGTTCAGTGACCCTTCCTTGTGTACCTGTTAGAAATAATAAAAAAAAAAAGACTAAATGGTTCAAATGATATACGAACCATTCAAGTTCCTCTCAAGGCACCTACTGACCTCAACTGTTACTTTCCTAACAAAGAAACTGTTAGCGTGCATGTTTTAAGGCCCACTGTTTGTCTTTTTCCCTTTTATAAGATGCCAGCTGCTGGAATGGTGCCATGTTAAGTGCTACATAGATGGAATGAGTGAGCAAGGTGTCAACTCCCCCTGCTGGGAGATTGGACAGTGTTGCCAGGCAACACACATGGCGATGGACCCTTGAGTGCTGTTGTTTTTCACCCCCCCGCCTTTTGTGGCCAACGTTTAAAAACAGCGACTCATGCATTTGAACCACAACACTTTCTGACCACACTATTATCCCAGGTACATGAGATTTACCTGGTCCGACTCACCTTGAGTTTTTTTTTTCCTCCATTTTTATATTATTATTTTATGATTTTAATTTGTAATGTCTTTGAAGTAGATCCTTGTTACACTGTACAGAATTAAGGATTATGGCAGAAGGAAAGATATTTGTTGGATTGTTTTATAAAATAAGTTCCCAGTTTGTCTTTGGAATTGATTGAGCATAAAATGGGAGAGCAAAAAAACTTTTCATCAAATTTGAGTCATTTTTTATTTATTCATTTATTTGTGAGTCTCTGTGTTAATGAGATTGTTAGTCATTGGGATTTTTAAGCTATTTTTCTGTGACTGGTCTTCTGCAGACTGTTAGTTTAATGAATATATCACTGTTGTCGGAACAAAACCTCATATCTCCAAAATGGTAACTTTACAGGAGAAGGAAAAAGCATACTCTACTTTTAATGTAAGTCAATGGAACCAGACTTTTTTCCAAGCCGTTTTGGGCTGTTTCTTTTGGTCGATTCATCGCATTACATTACATATAATGTAAAGGACAACAGGCATTTTCAAATTATGTCAAAAACCGAAAAACGTCAAAAATGGAGATACAAAGTTTTGTTCCGTCAGCACTGATATAAAACTTGTCCATGAGGACGGGGTGCTGAAGTTACAAGAAAAGAAATTTGTGAAAAGAAATGTAGTTTATCCCCCTGCTGCTGCTGCTGCTGCTTCTTGTGACAAATCTCACTGACCACTGTGCCAAGCAGAAAAGCTGAATAAGAAAGTCCTGAGCGTAAGCAAACAAATCAGTGCTGTTCTCCCTATAAGTCCCACAGCCTCCACATTTGCAGCATTTTCTTGAGATTCCGCAAGATCCTGTCACTTTCGTGCTCAGCTCACACTGAATTAATTGTACATACAAGCAGGGGGTAAAAAATGGGGCTTCTATTATGCTGACCACAGTTAGCTCATAGAAAATGGGCTGATAAGAGCACATATCTAGATCTAATACTCAAAGGGAAAATTGTAACAATCGGTCAGTGCTGTAAATGCTAATTTAGAGCAGTTATTCTTAAAGTGGGATCTGACCCCAGGGGTCAGCTGTGTGAAAGTCAGAGGCAACCCTTCATTTTGTTTCCAGTCAAAACGGCCTTCAAATACAAATCATTAATTTTTCAGGGGATATTTCTGAGGAAGTTGGATGTAAGATAATCCACTTGCACAAGGAGGGAGAAAGTCAAAAGAAAATAAGTGCGTTTTTATTTTCGCAACGTGAGTTAGATTAAAAGATCCAGAGCAAAGTAACCAAATGACCTGCACACCAAAAAAGAGGGCCCAAAAAAAAAAGATGCAGAGAGAAGTCCTTCCAACAACCATCCAAGACCTGGTAGACCGCCCAAACTGTCCCCATCAGATAAACAGCACTCAACAGACACTAAATACTGAAAATTTTGATTGTATATTGAATTGTTGAGGTGCTGTGAATTTTTTGGGGCAGTACCCCTCTTGTCACTGGGGTGGAACCCTCAAGGGTGCATCTCAGTACATTCAGTCAGGGAACATAACTGTACCATAATCCATTGAAATTAAATTTTCTAAGTTATATTAACTCCACACACCCCGTCTCGTCTCCAGGCTTTTATTTTATTGTTCTGTTTTAAAAAATTAGATTATGAAAAGGTACAAATACGAACTTTTCACCTGGAAAAACTTATTTAAGGTTCACAATCAGACCTTAAAACCACTGTTGTACCTTTGAGGGAACATTTACATTGTTTGTACTTTAATGAACGTATGTAGCTGCACAGCACCTTTATTTCTAACAGTGTATAAATACAGTGACTGTGGTAGAAATGACTTGTCTATCTGAAACAGAAGTAGCCTACTTTGTCACAATGTCCACAGACAAATGTAAGAAAGAGTTAAATAGGCCTTGTTATTTAGTGAGGTGGACAAGGAATCTAGAGCCAAATCAACTCAAGATCAGTACACCAAAATTTGTCATCTGTCTCATGGTGCTGGCAAACGAGGCCATGATGGCAGCCAAGCTACAGTGGCATGTGGGTATATGGTTACAGCTCACCTGATTTTATCAGCTGAATAATTTTGACAATGAATGAATGGTGGGTTTGGCCTCGGCTTCAGAGGAAACACTGAGGACTTCTTATTTAGTAGCTCAACAGAATAGTAAAGGCCAGAGGATGTGCAATTGGAGAAGAGCTCCGGCTCCTGTCGCACCATCATTTTGCTTAATGTTCCTAACATCTGAACCATTGGGTGGTATTAGTAGATCAAATCTTTGGGATTTCATAGATATTTTCACACTGTACGGCCCCCTGGCTGCATTTTGGTGCCACCCTGGGTGAGGAGGTGTCAGCTCTCTTCTGATTTTCTCATTGCTAGTCTTCAGTGCTGCTGTTGTATCAGTCTAATGTAGAAAGCTCTTGGCCTTCCAGCTTGATTCCTGTTCAGCACTTCCAAAGTGGTTGAACTGGAGCTCTATTCTACTTGCAAGCTTGATGTATAAATGTGTGTTCGGGCAGGCTGCAGCAATCACGTCGATGTAGATTCCCTGCCATCTGTGGAAGTGTGTGGCTGCACAGATTTAAGAAAATTGCAGTGTATTTTTAGCCACGCGGTGATTGTAATTATTATGTGTAGCCAGCCATGGCATGTTTTGTGGAAGTGTCTGATTCAGGGGAACGTTCAGCAGGAACTTCTGAGCTTAATCATTGCTCTCAGCACGACATAAATATTCCAGTTGCACATGAACCCCGCCATTATTACTCCTTTTTTCCATGGCGGTCTTTACAGTGCCCTTTTTGTGAAGTCGTGTTTTTACAAATGTAAAAGGGCATTTAGTTAAGGCTCAGCAGTTTTTGTCATCTGAAAACGCTACTGCTATTAACTGTTTACAGACGGGTGACAAGTTAAAGGAAAAACAAATATATAGTGTCTTATTAAGGTGTTGGACCACCAGAATTTCAGTGCAGCATATGGATTCTGCAAGGTTTGGAACTGGACTGAACGGATGGAACATTGTCTTGTAAAAGATATGCATTCCCTCAGTTAGTGTTTGAAGATGGTGGTGGAGAGCTCTGTCTAACATGGTCATAATATCCTGTAGATCAGGGTGTCAAAGAAGGGCCTGGGATCAATTGCTGGGCAGGCGACCAGGGTCCTTTCTGTGTGGAGTTTGCATGTTCTCCTCATGTGTCTGTGTGGGTTTCCAATTGAACATGCTAAATTGCCCCCTGCCCTGCGATGGACTAGTGGCCTGTCCAGGGTGTATCCTGCCCAATGACTGCTTGGACAGGCTCCAGCTCCCCCCGCGACCCAGAAGGATAAGCAGCTTATAAGGTGTGTTTGTGTGGAACTGCTGTGCCACAGATTGTTGTTGGGGGAAAGGGCTGGGAACACACATTATGTTGGAGTGCATGCTGGGGATTGTAGTGCAGCGCATTGTGAAACAGACTAATATTAAAAGTTAATCTAAATATTTTCACGGGGCGGATCTGTCCCACGGGCATTGTGTTTGACATGTGGGTCATAGATGGTCAATTAGGTCGAGATCTGGTGTTTTTGATACTCATCAAACCATTCAGTGACCCCTCATGCTCCTTGTCAGCCTGGAAGATGGAAGACTTCTCCCATCAGGATACAAATGATTCGTTATAGGACAAAAATGATCAATCAGAACAAGTTTGCATTGATTTGCAGTGACCCTTTCCTGCTAAGTGGACCCAAACCATACCAGCAAAAAGCCCCCCACAGCACAACAGCACAACCTCCTCACTGTAGGGGTCAATCATTCAGGTCTGTACTGTTCTCTTGGTGTACTCCGCACATGCACTCTCCCACTTGTGGAGAAAATAGTGAAGGATGACTCATCACTGATTTCCTCCTCTTTGTAGACCAGAGCGGATGGTTTTATCACCTCTGAGCTCTTAGATGGTCATTCGTCTCTGTAATGAGAGGTTCATGCACTGCAGCTCCACTATAATATCCCTCTCTGTGTAGCTGTGGACGGATTGTTCTTGCTGACACATATACTGTATAGACGCTCTCAGCTGCTCTACAGATGGTAATAATGTTCGAGCATCACAGTCACTGGATGTGCGCTTTCAACCACAATTTCCAACCCTGTCGACTGATGTTTTTCCTTGTTTTCTAAAGGCAGATCACTTTAGTTACTGTTTCTTTTGAAGCACTAGCCAGTTGACTTAAGCCTCTTTCAAAGCCACTTAGATCTTTTCCTCTTTCCATCTTGATCCAAAAGTGAGGTCACTTGGCCTGCTCAGCATGTGTCTACATGCCACAGCGCATGTTAGGATGTTAATTGATTAATTGTATCATGCAGTGACTCTGGAACCTTCTGCACTTATGTTTCTCCACTTATTCAGATTTTTCCATTGTCACTTATCTGTATGTAGCACCTTTCAGATAATATCTCTTTGTTGCTTAAAGTGCTTTACAGTTTGCACCAAAAAAAACAGACCATAATGAACAAAAATGCAGTATCTGGCTACATTATCACACACGATAGGCCTGAATTGATATTATTGATGTTTTTCTTACAGCAGGTGATGATAATACAAAACAGAAAATCACATTAACTGTGGATTCTACTGAACTGATTCAAAGTCAGAGTTCAAAACACATTTCCTTTTGCTTTGAGGGACCCTATACATGAATTATGATTATTTTATTCAAATAAGTGAACATTCCACTTTGTCACTACCAAAACAATCATAGCACTACCTTTACCAAATGTTTCAGTAGTGACTGTTTCGGTACTGACAATTATAGCTCATTTAGAGCAGAACTCAGCCAGCACATGACCTGCAAACACAGCTCTGAGCAGCTGTACACACATAAAATCGGCATATTTATTCATTAAAACACAAAAAACGTACTCAATTGCAGAAAATATGTGTTTCGGTAGTGACAGTTCTTCAAGTTCCACACTGATTTTCAGACTTTGGGTCACATTTACTTCAAAACAATGGGATCTAACTGCTCACCATGTGGCCATGAGGGACAGAGACAGTCTCACTTCCTGCTCTCTTCTTTTAAAAAAACAACATTGAAAAAAAAAAATCTAAAAAATGTAAGTATTGTTTTCACAGGTGTAAATTTAGGGGTTAGGGTTTGAGACAGACACCTCCCCCAAAAAAGTACCCTATAAATGATGATTTTGTATGTTTAGCTTATAACTATCTATATCAGATCAAAACATTCTTCTTCTAAGATCTGAATACTGTTTTCATTTTTGTTTTGTTTTGTTTTTTTTTGTAGGAACGCAGTTTGGTTTAACTGGGTACTGACGTCTCGTGTTAGGCATTGCTGTAAAGATTAATGTCATCATCCTGGAAGGTCACTGTGAATGATTCAGTCATTAAGGCTCGATCCCAAATGGCTCTACGTTGATATCTAGCGCACTATTTGAGTGCCTAATGCGTGTGTATTTCCTGACCTGCGTAGTGCACTATGTAGGGAGGAGAATTTGTGACACAGCCCTTTTTGTGCCAGTTTGCACCCCCTTTATTTCCAGCAGGGTCATTTCCCCCACAACTAAACGCATTCGGATGACCATTTTGCTTTAACAGGGGCTTTTTCCCCCACCCTCATTCACAAACAGCCGCACAGTGTCGTCTTTCAGCTGTAGAAGTGGCGCTAAAGCTGAGCTGAAGCAGCCTTTCTCTTTCAGTCGTGATGGTGATTTAGTTTTGGCTCCTCCCCGCCTGTTGTCCCACAATGCCTCGCTGTCCGTGGTGCTGAAGTGAAGTGCCAGAGGGGGCAGAAAGAGCTGAGCTCAGGCAAGGCGAGGCATCCTCCCTTCCTCCCTCCATCCCTCCATCCATCCTTCCATCCATCCATGCACGGGCTTTAGTCGACAGTCTATACGAATACAAAACGTACTGACTGCACGTTCCTTGTTTTCTAGCTAAGGTTGTCGTTGTCATCACTGCGCGAGGTTGGCAGGCGCTGTTTAGAGACGCCGTCTGGCTCTCTCGCTCTCTCGCTGCGCGCGTGCGTGTGCGCGTGTGCATTTTCCCCCCCCCTTCATCCTTTATGCACGGCACGCTGCTGCTCCAGCCCTCACGGAGAACGCGGGAGTGCGCGTGCCGGTGTTTCTACAGCAGCAGCAGCAGCGTGAGCATGGCTCCGTCTCGCCGCGAGGGCGACTGAGGAGCTCGACGATGGAGGCGAAGCATCAGCATCAGCACCAGTATCAGCATCAACAGCAGCAGCAGCAGCGCGTGAGCAAGAGCGTGAGGAGCCACCCGGAGGACGGAGGAGGAGGAGGTGGTGGTGGTGGTGGTGGTGGTGGTGGAGGTGGGGGGGTTGGTGGGGCAGGAGGACACCGTGCCGAGATGGAGATGCAGGCGAAGATCCAGAAAGCCGTGGACTTCAAGCTGGAGGGCCATCGCTGCTACAAGGAGAAGAAGTTCCGCGAGGCCATTGGCAAGTACCACCGGGCCCTGCTGCAGCTCAAAGGCGTCCACGGCTCCGAGGTGGAGCTGCTGAACCAGGCGGCGTCCAAGCTGACCGAGGAGCAGCGGAGAGCCGTGGAGACCACCGAAATCGAATGCTATGACAGCCTGACAGGTGAGCTGGAGGGGGCGGGGTGGGCTTTTGGGGCTTTGTCTTCAGTGCGTGCACGACTGTGGTGGTGCATTGGTGCATGCATGCTCGGAAGACGGCGTAGGCCAAAGCCAGTGGAGTGGTGTGGTCAGGAGAAGTGAGAGGAAGAATGAGGATGAGATTATATTTATGTAGATACTATGGACTATAGAAAATATATAGCACTGTGTATAGAAAGCTCTAATAAGGAATAAGACACGGGGGATACAGCTCTGTGAATTGCAGCCTCTAAAACATAGACATAAGGAATAAGACTCAATATATATAGCAATATTTATAGAATTGTATAAGGAATAAGACTCAAAGTATATAGCATTACGTAAATAAACCTCTTATAAGGAATAAGACTCAATATATAGCACTATGTACAGAAACCTTTGGTAACGGATAAGACTCAATATAATAATTATGTATATGTAAGTATCCAAGAGTATGTATAGACACCTCTTATAAAGAATCATAATGTATGTAGCATTATGTAAATAAACCTCTTTTAAGAAATAAGATTTAATACATATATAGCTCTATTTATCTAGACATCTCTAAGGAATAAGACTCAATGTATATATAGCACTTTTTTAAAGACACCTTCTATAAGGAATAAGGCTTAGTGTATATAGCGTATGTATATAGGTTTATATGTATATAAACCTCTTATAGGGGATAAAACTGTATATAATAATTATGTATATGTAAGTATATAACATTATGTATAGAAACCTCTTATAAAAATTATAACATATATAGCATTATGTAAATAAACCTCTTATAAGGAATAAGATTTAATACATGTATAGCTCTATTTATAAAAAGCTCTTATAAGCAATAAGACTCAATGTATATAGCACTATGTATAGCAACCTCTTATAAAGGATCATAATATACATAGCATTATCTAAATAAGACTCAAAATATATATCACTATGTATAGAAACCCTATATAAGGAATAAAACTCAATGTATGTACCACTATGTATGACAGCTTCTTCAATAAAAGGCTAATTGATAACGGAATATAACCCAATGATCTGTCATCATTGTTAAAAGAATAAAAGCTAAAGCTCTCATAAATGATGAAGGGACACACTTTAGTGTATACAGGACTATGGATGGAAACCTCTTGTAAGGAAAAAGACTAGATGTGTAGCACTATTTGGAAACAATGCACATATACATAGTAATCGCTCAAACATGGACATAATGAAATCCCTTTATAAGGAATAAGACACTACGGATAGCAACCTCTCAAAAACAGGCATGGTCAGGGAATGAGGCTCAGTGCACAACAATGTGACTTCAACAAGAGTCAATGTATATAGCACAATGGATAGAAACCTCAGACACAGGCAGTAAAGATTAAGACTCGATGCATGTAGCATTATTGGAAGAATTCTTTCATAAATGATCAATGAATAAGACATAATGTACACAGGACTATGGACAATAACTGCTTGTATGGAATAAGGCTCAGTACATATGGATAGAAACGGTAAAGAAACAGGACTCAATGCATTCAGTACTGTAGATAGCAATGAATATAGAAATAGTTAATGTCCACCACAGACAGCAGCCGCTCATAAAAGGTGAAGTGATATGACTCAGTGTGTATAGTAACCTCTTGTAAACACAGGAATGGTAAAGGAATAAGACCTGATGCATAGCACCATGGACAGCAACCTCTCATAAACAAAGAGGGGATAAACAGCAGTGAAAGGGCAATTTTTGTTAAATATTAGTAAGATTAAAGAAGCGATAATGATCATTGTGCCATTTCATATTTTGACGTACGGTGCTGCTTTTTTAAATGCTCATGCCATGGGGGGGGGGTGTTGTTCATGATGGCTCATGACCAAAACAAGGCAATAAGGCAAAAAAGTCATAATGGAAAACACTGACCGATATAATGGACAGTGCTTCATGCACACCTGCTCTGAGAGGTGGGGGTTTGGTGTTTTTAGCTTTCAGCATCCTTCATGCTGTCGTTAATGTGACCCAGCCATAAAGTTTGGCCTTGCAGAAGCCACCAAGGCGTGACGGGGTGATGGTGGGCTCCTCTGCAAATTCACCATTTCTCTGCCTCCTCATCCTCCAGTCACCTTTCCTTTTTGCCTTCTACCATGTAAATACAACCTGATGTTGAACTGGTGAAGAAAAAACTAATATGAAAATAGAGTTTGGAGGGAAAATATGTGTAATTTGTAGTTGCTTGAGATCAATATCGCAAAATATCACATTACCCGAAACCATAAACCTCTTATTTAAAGCTATTTTAAAAAAAACTGTCCTAAAGAACCATCTTCAAAAAAGAACCTTCACATGAGAACCTTTACATTATGTGGAGGTTCTTTAAACTTTAAAAACATCTAATTTACAAATATGGGTCTTTAAAGAGCCATCAACTGAAAAAGGTTTTTCATGGAACCAAAAGTGACCCTTCTGTGGTTTTGTGCAGAGAACCCTTTATTTCTAAGAGTGTGTAGCTAAATGAGTTTTGGCTTGATTGTATATATGGAACCTTTTTGAAAAGGGTTCTATATACTGCCAAAAAGCGTTCTTCCATTGTAGCCTAATCTCACAACAGTAGAAGAACCCTTTTTGGTGCTATATAGAACAATTTTCAAAAAGGTTCTATATAGAACCATCTAAAGCACATTCTCCATCAATCTAAAGAACCCATTCATGTTGCAAAGGACCCTTTCATCATGCATCAAATCAATAATCAAAGGGTTCTTGCAGTGTTCATGGTTCTATATAGAACCATCTTCTTTACTAAAGAACCCTTGAAGAACCCTTTTGGGTGCTATATGGAACTTTTTCATAAAGGTTCTATATCAAACCATCGATAGCACATTTATAGAAGTTTTCCATCAATCTGAAGTACCCTTTATGATGCAAAGAACCCTTTAATCATGCAAAGTGTTCTTTAAATGTGTTCTTTAAGAGTCTATATAGAACCTTTTTTTGCTAAAGAACCCTAGAAGCACCATCCTTTTTAAAAGTGTATAAAACTCAGAGGACACGTGTAGGTTCACTGGTGGTTTTGGGTCGTTAATAAAACATATTTGTGTTGTGGACATCGCAACGCCTGGTTCCTGTCACCACCACTGTAAAGAAGTCTGAGTGTTTCTCTACAGTGAATCACTCTAAAAGACTTTGTTTACATCTCAATGAAAGAAAATGGTGGAATTCCTTAAACACTCGTTCATCTCATTTACTTTAAAGAACCGCCCATGGAAAGATTCTTCAGGGAATTAAAATTGGTCCTTCAAGATAGCTGCAACTAACCCTTTTTTTGGGGGCCTTTACTAGTGTAGAATTGAACCCCATATTTGAAGAACCATCATTTTTATTATATTATAAAAATAGAAGAACCCTTTTGGGTGGCTTAATGGAACTCTTTTCAAAAAGGTTCTATACAGAACCATCTATAGCACATTCCCTGCAACTTTTCCACAATCTAAAGTACCCTTTCATGATGGAAATTACCTTTAACCATGCAACGTGTTCTTTAAGTGTGTTTTTTGAGCATTCATGGTTCAGTATAGAACCATTTTGTTTGCTAAAGAACCATTAAAGCACCATCTTTTTTTAAAGTGTATAAAGGACACATGTAAGTTCACTGGTGGTTTTGGACAGTAAATGATATGTATTTGCGCTGTAGACATCACAAATCCTGGTTCCTATCACCACCACTGTGAAGAAATCTGTAAGTTTCTCTATAGTGAATCACTCACTCGTCTAATTTACTTTAAAGAACCGCCCATGGAAAGATTCTTCAGGGAATTAAAATTGATACTTCTTCTATATCCCCGTTTTTGGGGCCTTTACTGTAAAAAGTGTAGAGCTGAACACCATATTTGAAGACGGGAGTTCAGCTTGTCCTGATCTCTTTATAAAGATGCTCTCCTTTGTTTTGGTACAAGATGTCCAATTAAATCGGCTGATATTACTGAAGATGTTACATTGGGCCCTCATACTGGTACGAATGGCCCTTTTACAAGCCGTGGGATAAAACAAGGCTATTGAGGCTTTGATCTTGTGGTCTGCGAGATGCCAACAGTGCATGTTTTATGGCGTGTGGACTGTAAAGCGTTGTGCTTCACACAGCCGCATGCACAGCAGAAGTGTTTTTCTCCCGGCGTTTCTGTTAGCCTCAGCAGTCCTAGTCGGGTGGAGCGGTCACCAACTGGGGTTGATGATGTTGGGGGGGGCTGATAGAATAGCCTGCTGTGAAACCTGCCAGGCTGAGCCAATACAAATGCTGCTGTTGTTCTTGGTGCGAGAGAGAAAGTAAGTGTGGAAGGCAGGGAGCTGCCATTCAAAGCCCTGTTTGTTGTGACAAGGACAAGCTTTCCTTTCCTATTGTTCGACTTGAGCCAAGCACAGCAACTTCTGAAATGACGCCGCCTCTTAACGAATCCCGCTGAGCAGCCCTTACCAAACACATCAAGTCTTAGTGTTATGATTTGTTTGCGACCCACCAGTGATAAAGTCTGCAAAAAGCTTATACTTCAGCATCCGTAGCACAGGGTTGCACAGACAGCTATTTCAGTATGTTTATTAAAGGACAGAAAACACACTGGAAACACACTCACAATAGAAAGTATAATCACATTTTCAGCATTTAGTGTGTCCTGAATTTATGTTTCCCACCGCTTCCGTTTTTTTAAGGAAACTTTCAGTTTTTTGCAGGAATGTATTTCCACTCCTCTGAAGTTCAGCTTTATAAGTCATTTGCAAGGAATCCTAACTATACATTTAGACTCATCAGTCCATAAAACATCACTCCACATCTCAGATATCCAGTTTTGGTCTTCTAGTGCAGCTTTTTTGTCTGTTTCCTTTTCTCAGTGAGGGCTAAACATCCTTTCAGCACTGAGTTGTCCCCTCACAGAGGATGGATGGACAGAAGTGGATGTTTTCAGATCTGAAGCAGCTTGATTTTCTCCTCTCTCTCAAAGATG